AGACAAAAAACAAACACTACCTTAATATGGCAATACATTTTTTGATTTATAAATATTTGGTCATTGAGTTCATATTTACCCCTTCAACTTGTTAAAAATACACATTCAGTCTTTATGATTGACTATTCCAGGTTAACCGGTAAAAACAACTTAATAGGGTAATATATTTTCCATTTTGCACACATTTAGTCTTTAATATTTTTGTACATATTTAATTATTATTATTATTATTATTATTATTATTAATATTATTGTTATTGTTATTATTATTATTATTATTATTATTATTATTATTATTATTATTTTGCAAAATAAGTTATTTTTGTTTTTGTATTCATTGAGTACTTATGAATGATTTTTTAAGGTTTTCTTACGACATCTTACATGAGACAATCATTAATGAGGTGTTTGAGGATTTTGATACTTATGTCCATCATGATCTCAACTACTTGGTTGGTTAGATCATGTGTTCTTGAACGTCATAACTCTTCATACGATACGATCTCCGACTTTAACAATCTTTATATCCATACGTTCGTATTTTAGTGTACAACTTTTGTTTAGATTACTCATGTTAAAATATAATAAATTTTTTTACTTACGATCTCTACATCCATACGTTTTTTATGAATGTATGTATGGATTTTTTTAAATAGAAAACGTAAGTAAAAATATATTGTATTTTAACGGGTGTAATCTTAATAAAAGTTGTAGTAGACTTAAAAACGAACAGGTGAATATAAAGATCGTTAAAATCTGATATCGTATGAGAAATTATGACGTTCAGAACAGAAGACCTAAGCCAAACCTCAAGACCTACACAACCAAGCAGTCGAAGTCGCGATGAACACAAGCATCAACAACCCAAGACCCATCATCAATGATTATCTCACGCAAGATGTCATAAGAAAAACCTAAAAAAATCATTTATAAGTACTAAATGAATACAAAAACAAAAATCACTTATTTTGAAACGAAAAATGTTAAAGTCTAATTGTGTACAAAAGTAATAAGGACTAAATGTGTATACAATGAAAAATACATTACCCTATTAACTCTTTTTTCCCAGCTAACATGGAGTAATCCGTCATAAGGACTGAATGTGTACAATTTAACAAGTTGAAGGGGGTAATGTGGACAAAAAAAACTCAGTGACCAAATATGTACAAATCAACAAATATATTGACATTTTATGTCATTATCCCTAACTCTTATATAGTTATCCCATGTATTCTTATTCCGAAAATGACTAACTTCAGTTGGGGTGTCAGCTAGACATTCGCATACACGTATGAGATAATAACTTAAAAGGTAAATATATTTTTTGATTTGTACACATTTGATCACTAAGTTTTTTCGTCCAAAATTACCCCTTCAACTTGTTAAACTGTATACATTCAGTCCATATGACTGGTTACTCCAGGTTAGCCAGGAAAAATGACTTAATAGGGTCATATATTTTCTTGTTTTGTATACATTTAGTCATTATTATTTTTGTACACATTTGGTCCTTCAAATTTTTTCGTTTCAAAATAAGTCATTTTTGTTTTTTGTACTTATTTAGTACTTATGAATAATTTCTTTAGGTTTTTCTGACGATAATCTACGCGGAACAACCATTGATGAGGTGTTTGGGGTTGTTGATACTTATGTCTATCGCGATTTCGACTATTTGGTTGTGTAAGTCTTGTGATTTAGCTTAGGTCTTATGTTCTGAATGTTGTAACTTTTTTATACGATATCATATTTTAACAATCTTTATATTCAACTGTTCGTTTTTTTGAGTCTACTACAACTTTCGTTAAGATTGCACCTATTAAAATGTAATATATTTTTACTTACAATTTTATAAAAAAAAACATTCATACATGCATTCATAAAAAAATATATCGATATAAAGATCGTAAGTAAAAATATATTACCTTTAACGGTAGTAATTTAAATGAAAGTTGTAGTAGACTAAAATACCAACGTATGGATATAAAGATTGTTGAAATCCGATATCGTATGAAAAAATTATGACGTTCAAAACACATTATTTAAGCAATCATGCAGTCGAGATTACGATAGACATAAGCATCTAAATGCTGAAATACCTCATTAATGATTTTCTCACGTAAGATATATGAGAAAAACCTTAAGAAATCATTCAGAAGTACTGAATGAATACAAAAACAAAAATTACTTATTTTGCAAATAAAAAAAATTAAAGACTAAATGTGTACAAAAATATTAAGGACTAAATGTGTACAATATGAAAAATATATTACCCTATTAAGTTATTTTTTTACAGGTTAACCTGTAGTAGCCGATCATAAGGACTGAATATGTATAGTTTCACAAGTTGAAGGGGGTAAGTGTGAACGAAAAAAAACCTTAGTAATATATATATATATATATATATATATATATATATATATATATATATATATATATATATATATATATATATATATATAGAGAGAGAGAGAGAGAGAGAGAGAGAGAGAGAGAGAGAGAAAGAAAAGTTGTTAAAAAAACAAAAAATAAAGTGAACGTGACAACAATTTCAGCCAATGGTTTTATTTAATTAATCTTTTAAAAAAAGTATTTTAGGTATTTGCTACCACCATTAATAACAGATTTAAATTCAAGCCCTATTTTTATGGAATGAAAGTATATCATTTTATTTAATGTTCTCTATTTCCATCAAAATAAAAGAAATGTATCCATAATTTTAGCCCAAATTTAAGAAAGCATAGCATGTCTTTTAAAGTCTCGTTTCTATATTTCGTTAAAATAAAATAAAAGAGACGGCATCCTTTTTATATTTGTTTATGGCATGTATTATCAATAAGAGATTGTGTTTGAATGTTAAATATTGATTTTAAAAGTGATAACACATGTGTGAATCTATATATTTTTCTTTCTAATTCTTACGTAATATTAGTTTATTAGTAGCCATATATTAAAAATTATATATAATTCTTTTATGGATATTAGTTATCATGAAAGAAAATATATTCTGAAATGCATATTAATTTGTTTTTATTTATGATATTTTTAATATTCCATCCTTGATATTGTTTGCATCTATTTTCTGTATATTTTAAATAGAAGATAATATCATTCACATTGATACATGCTTATATTCATTTCTGATTAACTTTTATATTGAATATTTCATTATGAATAACTGCTAGATTGTCGAACCAAAAAATCGAACGAAAAAACAAAATGAAATTCTAATATGAATTATGTCAAATTTACAAACAAGATTCAAGAAAACATTGAATTTTTAGTTCAAATTATATTTAATAAAGTTGTATTGCTAATGAAATTTTATTGAAATTTGTTTATTTGTTTATTGATATTGGATTTTTCGTTGCAAATAATATATTATTTTTTATATTCTAAGATGAGTATGTAGTGTTCATAGTTTTTTATTACATAAAATATATTCTTTATAGAATAAGTAAAATATATTTAAGAATCTCAATTAAGCATATGAATTTGCACTCTTAATACATTTTTGAAATATCGTTATATTTTTACTTTTTAGAATAAAACAATTAAGTATCCATTAAAAATCCTTTAAAATAGGAAACATATATGAAATTAGTAAATTAACTATTATCCCTAAAAGTTCTCGGTAACCACCACTTTCCTTGTTAATCTCATTTTATTTTTATAGTTTTATCCTTACACAACTAATTGTATATTCTAATAATAATTAAAATATTAATTGATAAATATATATTAACTAAAATGATTGGCCGAGAAGTGTTCTCACGTTTTCAAATTATTTAGTATTTCACATTTGAACTATCCTTTATATATATATATATATATATATATATATATATATATATATATATATATATATATATATATATATATATATATATATATATATATATGGATAAAGTGAATATACCTAATAACCTTATATAAGCTTAGGTACCTAACTCCATAATACTACATCAGTTTGTATCATATTCATATTGTAATTACCTAAGGTTCTTAAACTTCAACCCCATAACTTGGTTACTTCCAAAATCTTTGAACTTTCACAAATATCTTTCTTTTACATGACGTCTTTCTATCGAATACCATCTGATGGGCTTCATATCCTACCGCTACAAATGAAAGGATGTACGAGAAATATAATGAAGAATTTCCAAATTTTTTTGAAGTAAATCAAGTTTAGGGATTAAGTTTAAGAACATTGGATGATTGCAATGAAAATTTAATGCAAAATGATGTAGTTTGATGAGGTTAGGTACCTAAGCTTATATAAGGTTGTTAGGTATATTCACTTTACCCTATATATATATATATATATATATATATATATATATATATATATATATATATACCCTTAAGGGTATATAAGCTTAGGTACCCAAACACACAATAATACGTCGTTTTTTTGATATATTCATTATAATGTTTTTGAACTTCAATCCCTAACTTGATTTAATTTCAAGATTTTCGAAATTTCACTATTATTTTTCTCTTATGTCACATCTTTTTGTAGAACAACTATTAGGTTATATTTATTGTAGTTGAAAATGAAAATTAAGTAAGATGAAGCTAAATGTGTAATTTATAAAAATCATGGAAATAAATCAATTTAGAAGTTAAATTATAAGAACATTGGACAATTATAATATATTATATGATACAAAACGATATAGTATGGAGACTTTGGGTACCTAAGCTTATATACCCTTAAGGGTATATTCACTTTTCCCATATATATATATATATATATATATATATATATATATATATATATATATATATATATATATATACCTTTTTAAGTGTTATCCCTACACATATTGTGTATTTGAAATTAATTGTGTTTGGTGATTGTCACAACCACGTAATTTTCCTTTCACATTCCTTTTTTGTAGGAAATGATAATCTTTCATTATCTCTTTTTATATTAATCTGCGGAAAAGTCCCAAAATTTTGCCCCAATTTATGATTTAGTCTTACATTAAATTTTACTTATGAAAAAGGACAGATTACCGGCTAATACACTCAGTTTGGCCCTAACAACCGGTAATCCTTATAAGAGCCGGTTACCCCAGCTCATTGACGTTATTACCCTCCAGTAAACACCCCGTCATCAACTCCTCTGTAAAAAACCCCTTCTTACCCTCCATCAAAGCAAAACGTTACCTGAGAAGAATCAAAGGTAAGAAAATCCACGTGGTCCTCCAATATCGTGTTTCCCTTAAAATATTTGATTAATTTTTGTTTTGTAGTGATAATGGAGACAGTAGATGACTTCGATACCATTGACGTGGAATTGGATGAGTTTTTCAAACACAAAGAAAAAAGTCGATGCAAAGATGAGTTCCTAAATTCTCTCACAGACGAATCGCTTGACGAATACACCATACCTGAGATAAACCTAAATGATTTTGAAGGAATATCGGAAGATGAAGCACCATAGGAAAAGTAGAGTGATAGTGAGGGTGACGATGAAGACAAATTTCAGTTTCAATACTCAACCCATGATCCGAAGGTGAAATGGAATAATATGAAGCCAGTTCTTGGAGAGAGGTATGAATCACCACACCAACTAAAGCTTTGTTTGACAAATTACTCTATAAGTAGGGGTTATCCAATTAGGTTCAAGAAATGTGATAGTGTAAGGCTCGTGGCTGTATGTGCAAGTGACCCTGAGAAATTTCAATGTCCCTTTGTTGTAAGGGCCTCATGGATGAGCACTGAAAGAACATTCCAAATCAAAAAAATGGTTGAGCAACATACCTGTGTGAGGAATTTCCGTAGTGCTAATCTTATGGATCCCACATGGATAGCTAGGCAGGTTCTGAAGGAGATGATTAGGAAACCAAATTTGAAATGTAAGGAAATGCAAGCTATTATTCAAATTAGGTTCCATTGCAAGGTTTCATGGTCAAAATGTTATAGAGCAAACTGTAGGACAATTTCTTTAATAGATGGAAAGTTGAGTGATCACTATGCAAAAGTTTGGGATTATGGACATGAATTGATGAGGTCCAATCCAAGGAGTACAATTCAAATATCTATCACTGTAAACCCTGATAACACTACTACTTTCCATAGAATGTATACATGTTTTAAGGATATCAAAGAAGGATGGAAAGTTGGTTGTCAAAGAGTTATAGGGCTTGATGGGAGTTTTTTTGAAAGGACAATGTAAAGGTGAGCTGCTAACTGCCATAGGGAGGGATGCAAATAACCATGTGTATCCCATTGCTTGGGCATCAGTTGAAATTGAGAACAAGCCCAACTGGAAATGGTTCTTGGAACTATTACATGATGACCTGGAATTACAAGGAGGCTTGGATTTGTGTGTTATTTCTAATCAACACAAGGTAATGTTTTCAATTATCTCCTTTTTTTCATTTCATTTATACATGGATCAAGCAGTTAGTAATGATATTTTTTAATGTAATTGATAGGGTTTTTTGGAAGCTGTAAAGGTTGTATTGCCACGTGTGGAGCACAGACAATGTGCAAGACATGTGTATGCAAATTTCAGAAAGGTATTCAGTAACATATAGAGTTCAAGAATATGTTTTGGACAGTTGCCAAGTCAACTGTTGAAGGAGACTTCAAATTGAATATGGAGAAGATCAAAGAAGTCAATCCTGCTGCTTATGATCATTTGATGGCAAGGGAGCCTAAATCTTGGTGCAGTGCATTTTTTAAAGGTGGAATGACATGTGAGGCTATTGAAAATGGAATGGCAGAGTGTTTTAATGCCATCATACTTGATGCCAGAAAGAAGCCTTCGTTGGCCTTGCTTGAGGAGATTAGACTGTATATGATGGAAAGGTTATTTAACTTGAAGCAAGAAGAACGTAAATGGGTGAATATTATGTGTCCAGGAGCTATTAAGAAAATGGACGAGTTTGCTTTTGATATCAAGTAAGTATTATGTTCATCCTAGTGGTTTGAAACTGTTAATGTGTACACTAATTAAAACTATTAATGTGTTTGCAGGACTTGGTATGTTCATCCTAGTGGTTTGAATGCTTTTGAAGTGAGAAATGGCTTCCACTCATATGGAGTGAACTTAGAGGGGATGTACTGTACATGCAGACTTTGGGAGTTATCTGGGATCCCCTGTGTCCATGCACAACCAACCATAATTTACACACAACAGGATCCAGCTAGATTCATCAGCACATGGTTTGGTAAGGACAAGTTCTTAAGTGCTTATGAGTCTAACATCCTTCCTGTTAATGGCAGTAATATGTGGGAACCAACACCTTACACCAAACCACTACCACCTATTGAAAGAAGGATGCCAGGAAGGCCTTGTATGAAAAGGAAAAGGCATGTCTCTGAGCATCAAGACAGGTTTTCCCAAGTCTCCTCTAAGGGTAGAACTGTCCAATGTCAGAATTGTATGCAAATGGGGCACAATAAAGTGTCTTGCAAGAATCCCTCAGTCCAACCAACACCAAAGCCTAAGAAGAAAATAGGAAGGCCAAGGTTGAATCCAGAATTGACCAATTGCACTAGACTTGGGAGAGGTGGTGGAAGAGGTGGTAGAAGAGATGGAAGAGGTGGTAGAAGAGGGGGTAGAAGTGGTGGAAGAGGGTCTACCAGTGTTTATGAAGAAGGTGAAAGTTCTGGGAAAAAAGAACCTGGGATTGAGACTTAATTTTTCACCCAAACAACACCTAATGTTGAGAGTCAATTTGTCACCCAAACAACACCTACTGTTGACAGTGAACATGTATCAGAAACACAGGAAGCTGATGTTAACATTGATGATGAAGGTGATGGTATTGATATGGCTGACCTGGATCAAATACTGAGTGATTTGAGTTACCTTAGAGAGTCAACATACAGTGAAGCAGAGATCCTTATGTGTCTTAATATCACCCAATCACAACTGAAAGGATTTGATGCTTTGATTCACCAATCCAAACAAGCTGCAAAGGTATATATTATAACATTGACAGTGAATTTTATTTTTCAATAACATAACTAACTTGTATTCTTTCTGATGCAAGGAAACACATGAGGACAATGGTGAAGATGTACCAGAAACATAGGAGGATAATGGTGAAGATGGAGCTGAAGAATCACAGGAGGACAATGATGAAGATGGAGCTGAAGAATCACAGGAGGAGGGTGTTGATGATACTCAAGTTAGGGTTAGAACTCAAGTCAGGGTTAGAACATGAAAAACTTCTGAAAGGATCACTAAAAACATGTTGAAGAAAATTGTGATTAACAAGAAAGGAAAAGGAATGGCTCCAGAAAAACCACTTAATTTGGATTAGATTGGTTAGGATTTAAGCAGTTATATGGGCTACTTGGGCAACTTTGTTAGGAAGCCCTTTTTGGTAAATTTGTTAATATGCCCTTTCTTTTGTAAACAATATACAATATGGCTGCATTGTTAACACTTTGGGACTTTAGATTGGGCAAATTTGTTAGGAAGCCCTTTTTGGTAAATTTGTTAATAGGGATATGCCCTTTCTTTTGTAAACACTTTGGCTGATTTTGGTATGTTTTGTTGATGTATAACTTACATCCATTTTGTTCATTTGTTCATTATGTTATATTGAAAAACATCCTTCATTTTGTTCATTTTGTTGATGTATAAATTATGTTATATTGAAAACATCCTTCATTGTACATTGCTCAAACAGTAGGTATCCAATAAACCATTTTTCATTCAACAAAATACAACTTACATCCAACTGTCATTTAACAGTTTTACAACAACTTAAAACTACTTCAACATAATCCACACAATCACCAACAAACACAAAAAAAAACCCAATCTCCCATTTTTCACCTTCACCTTGTACAGGAACCTCTTGAATGCCATTGTTGTGAAAATCCACAGCTTCTTCCACAAATTCTTCCGCAAACTCATTGTGTACTTGAATGTCATTATTGTGAAACTCCATCAACAAGTTTCTGTACCAGTTGTTTGGTAATGGGGGATCGACCCAAGCAAAATACTTGCAATCTTTTTCCTCATCCTGTTATATAGGAAATAAAACCTAATTGGAAGACATTTGAGATGTAATTAAAGAGGTTTAGGGGATACTTACCCGGAAATTAGGGCAGCCGATGAACCTCTTGTCAGGGTTTGTTGGCCTCCATGATGTCCACTTACCAACGGGGTCTTCACAAAAGCATGTTGCCCTTAATGCTTGCCTTCGTGATCGAATATTGCTCCTACTTCCCACTGAGCTTGAAGATGCCATTTTGCTTTGATGGAGGGTAAGAAGGGGTTTTTTACAGAGGAGTTAATGACGGGGTGTTTAATGGAGGGTGATAAGGTCAATGAATTGGGGTAACCGACTCTTATAAGGATTACAGGTTGTTAGGGCCAAACTGAGTGTATTAGCCGGTAATATGTCCTTTTTCATAAGTAAAATTTAATTTATGACTAAATCATAAACTAGGGCAAAATTTTGGGATTTTTTCGCAGATTTCTCTTTTAATAATTATATAAGAAATATTATTTATTTATAAAAAGTCTCAAATTTGATAAAAAATCATTTTTTAAATCAATCCAAACTAAAATAGTCAAAACTAGGGTGAGATTATACCCTTTTGCAAAGAGCGTTATAAATTTTCTATCAGAAATTGAGCATTTTTTTTATTTTTTTAAAAACAAGAACTATTTTTGAAAATAAAATATGCACAAGGATGTTTTCTATAAATTACATAGATAATTTTTGTAATTTATGTTTAAAACAGTGATTAAACCTATCAACATATGAAATTCTTTAACAAATGAACGGTTTCTATAAAAAAACATGTACATTGATATTGTCTGTAAATTATAGGGATATTATGTAACTTATTTTGTATTTAGGGATCAAATCTATCATTATACGAAATCGTTATGCCAAAATATGAAATGTAAAAATATTGTGGCCAAAGTATAGAATATAAAACTATATTATTCATTTTACAATTTATATTTATATTTATAATACTATTAATATTAGGTTCCCTTATGCACAATATCCCATTTCTATTGGCTTCTTTTTTTTCTAAAGCCTATTGGCTTCTTTTTTTCGAAAGGAATAAGGGAAAAAAACCAATTGCTCCTTCTCGATAACTCCTTCACCACCTCTACCTACCCGCTCTATCGTCCACCGACAAAGGACTGACTATGTATTCTCTTCTCAGACAACCCACTGATACTTCTCTTCATCCTTCGCACCGCCTAATATACCCAATTCAGTTTATTTTCATTTGGGGGCATTACCCCAGTTCCTTACTTTTTCTATCCCTCTTATTCACCATCTTAGGTTGCTATTGCTTCCATAACTCTTTCTACAACATTCCTACTCCAAACTTTTTATATCCCCCTCTCACCATGTCGTTGCTTTAGGCCGACAGATGGAAAACAGAAGCAACACGAGCAAAGGTCGCTCCTTCAAGCAACAACCAATTCCATGCTTGATTTTTTTTTTCAAATCTTCTCCTCTGAATTCGATTTCTATGGAGGTCATTTATGAAATTTATTTTCTTTCTTAATTTCTTCTTCTAGGAAAAAACTCATATCTATAATCGTTTCGACATTTCTAGGATGTCGTCTTCATGGGTCCATCTAAAGTGAAGGGCTCTTTTATGCTCATAGTGTTCGATAATGTAAATTGTTCAATTTGAAGGTGTGCTGAACAATTTTTTTTAAAAAAAACTTTACTTTTTAAATCAACCACCAAACCATTTGGACTGATATATACCATTTGGACTGATGTCTAGTTTGTGATGTGAAAATGGAATTAAGGTCTAATGAAAAACTTAGAAGCTGGAGTTCTAAAGTGATTTTAATAATATGTCCACCAGTTGTTTGCTAAAATGTCTCACTTGCATTGGTTTGAAAAAAAATGAACACCAACTTGTATTTTCGATTATACATGAAGCTTAACAAATGCTACAGAAAAGGAGCCTGTCACCCACAGTAGCATGGCTGGTCACCTTAATGACAGTCAGGTATAAGTCATAAACATGACGATTTAACCATTTTTACAAAAATTATATAATTTGAATACAACTAACATTGAATTTTCCATATTCTTTGGTGAAGGATTCTGGACTTCATGCAAGAAATATAAGCACTGTATCAACAGTGGATAGTGCTGAGTTACATTGAATTTTGAGTCATAGAAATTTTGGAACTTCTATTTTATAATCAAACAATCTTTATTTGCTTTTTTTTCATGTAGAAATAATTGATGAAGATGGGAAACCAATCTGGAAAAACAGGGTTAAAAGTTGGAAGGATAAAAAGAACAAAAAGAAAAAGAGTGTTGCTAAAGTTGCTAAATAAGTTTAAATTCATGTAGACCAACAAATGGGTGAAAAGCAGGAGTAAGTGCATGGCATTTTAGTTCCTTTTTCCTTTTCACTTTTTTTTGTAAAAGAAAAATTATAATTAAAAGGTGCAACTTGACAACTTCTAATATGATTTAATTAATGGGAATTAATAATTGTTACTTACATATCAACAGAGGGGAATGCAATGCAACCACTTTCACAAATAGTTCCAATTCCAAAGAGCCAAATCACACCTTATAGAGTTGTAATTATAGTGAACTTTTCTTATCCTTCTTCTTGACACACCAATTGAAGAAAATGCAATATGTTTGTAGTTTTTTTTTATGTAGTCGTATTTGTAGGAGTGAAACAAATTTGATTTGGATAGAAACTGAAGAACCTAATGAAAACCAAAACTACATACATTCAATTGGGTTCTTCTTTTTATGTATTTTGTAAAACCAAAGTTGCATTTAATTGTTGGTTAGGCTTGAGTTGCAAAAGATGAAGAAACAATGAAGGTATAACTTTTACCAAATATATAATAAATTAATCGTATTTTTCTTAAATTTATTCTAATCTCATGCTTGCAGTAGAGTTGATGAAAGCTGATGGCACTGTAATTCTGCATAATTGGATGCTCCAAGTTTCATATCTGTGACACAACTTTACTTTACAGAGGGAAATTTAGGATGAAACTTGTTCAAAACTTTTGATGTTTTCTTTTCAAATTAGTTGAAAACAATAAATATTAGTCCTAATATGACATTTCTATTTTCATGTTTTACATCATTTTGATGCGGTGAAAAGCACGTGACAAAAGAAAAAGGAGGTGCCTAGAGCTTATTAAAGTTCATTATCTAATATTTATGATACATGATCCTATTATTTGGTTCGTAAGCTCACAATATCAGTTATTTTATGTCTTTTCTTTTAATTCGAAAAAATAATTGTTTTTATTTATTTTCGGGTATGTATGCTCTAAAAGAATCAAGGCTTCACGAAACAAAAAGTTCCCCATTTTTACAGGTTTTCCGTTTTACAAATTTAGATGGTTATTTGGGCTTGCCGTGTTTTTTATCTGTCTTAAATTTATCCCTCAGAAATAGGTTGTAGGGCTATTTATTAAACCATCATATAATTTGTAGTTGCACAGACCGCCACCTTTTTTCACATTCTCCCTTTTGTTTTCATACAGATTTCCTTGAAAAGGATTCTATGCAGGTTGTTTGTTTGACGAAGATGTGGTATTTATGTTACTTACCTTAGGTTGTCATAAAGAGTCGGAAAGGTGACAAGGGCAAAATGATAATCTAATATATTATTCTAATTCAACTTGAAAGTATCCAAAAAAGAATTGGAAATTATAAATGTATAGGAAAAAATGAATTATAAATGTCATGGATATCATTTACTCCAATAAATATTTGATGATTGTAGGATTGCAGTTTACCTTCCGATAAATAAATGACTAAACAATGTATCGTTACCTACTGTTAATGATGGTTTAATCCAAATCTAACCCCCGCTACGCGAGGGCTCTTTTCTAGTTAAAATTGATATATATATATATATATATATATATATATATATATATATATATATATATATATATATATATATATATATATATATATATATAGGTGGGTTGAATTGAGAAAATAAAAAAGGTTGAGAATGGGGGAATCATTCTCAGCCACTCATTTAATCTAAGCATAAAAGACACGGTGGCAAACTTGTAAATGTGGTAATAACCTTCAATCTCAAATACATAACTATAGAGTATTCAATAACTGTTCGTTCATCATCAAAAATTTTCCTCCAACCTTCAATAATCATCCAAATTTCTTCAACTAAACCAGAATTTCTTTGCTGTTTATGAAATTAGAATCAGAGTTCTGGACTCGTAGTCACAGTCGACATTGAGGGACTTAGAATCGATACTCACAGGTTCCCAATCGGATTTTCGGAAATCAAAATAAAATTGAGAAATCGATCAGAGATAGGATGTCGCATCTGAAGTCGAAATCGGAAGTATATGACGATTTGGAATTGATCTTGATGTTTTTAACATTTTTAAAATAGTTAACTTGTTTGCACTCCAACTGTTTGATGAAATGCATAAACTAAATTACCACGTTATATTCACATATGAATATGTTTTCTCACCTGAATCAGTATATGCTTATTAAAAACACAAAACAAATATGCAAGTCTGTATGTTATTCATATGTGAATAACATATAAAAATTAAATATATTTGTCAAAATACCTTCAAATATTGATAAGTGAATATACCTTGTAATATTCATATGTAAATATACTGTGTAATATTCATAAGTGAATATATCATCTAATATTCACAAATGAATATACTCTGTAATATTCACATGTGATATACCATGTAATACTATGTAATATTCACATATGAAATATCATTTAATACTCATAAGTGAATATACCATATAATATTCACAAGTGAATATACTATGTTAATATTCAGAAATCAGAAGTGAATTCATCGTCCAATATTAAAATATGAATATACCATGTTTATTATATGCTATATTCATATATGAATGATACTTAAATTGTAAAAAAAAAAATATTTTTTTATTCATAAGTGAATAATGAATGTACTGTAATAAAACCTGATGCATTGTTATTCACTTATGAATAACAATAGCTAAAAATATAAAAAAATAAATTTTTTATTTTATCTTAAAACTATATCAATATGGATGTTTATTTGTAGAGAATAAAAAATCATGAATTTTGGTATATTTAAAAATATTTTTTGATAAAAATAAAAAAAAAACAAAAAAAAAAACTATTAAGGTAATGATTAACATAGTTTAAGGAAATATGTTATATTGGAAAACACATGCGCATTCGTTTCCTGTTTACGCCGGTACGTTGGAGGCTTTTGCGGCAAAAATAAATGATTGCTGACAATGATTCCCTATTCAACCTTTTTTTTTCTCAATTGAACCCTCCCATATATATATATATATATATATATATATATATATATATATATATATATATATATATATATATATATATATATATATATATATATATTATAATAATAATAATAATAATAATAATAATAATAATAATAATTACGTAACTAAAACGTAACAATAAATGAAATAAGTCCTACATTGCTATATATTATTTCACCCTTAAAACCATGTCAACACAGTTAGGAATGTCAACGGAGCGGGCTCGGGGTGGGATATGGTTTCCCAAACTCGTTCGATATCTTTCGGGTATCTTATTGGGACGCCCCATTGGGTTACGAGTTTTCTTGTTAGGGGTGCAAA